AACACCCCGTCCTCCTTGCCAGGGCACTGTAATCGCCCCTGTCGCAGGAAGTAGTAGTTTTGCCGGTAGTAGTAGTAGTAGTAGTCGTCGTAGTAGTATAGTAGCGGAGATATCAAACGGGTCACCAGCAGCGCCACAAAGGCCTGGATCAAGAGCTGGCGAAGTGGCGGCCGGGGCAGAGGGGTTTTCCGCCGCGAAAGCGCGGAAGGCAGCGGGGTGATGGTGGGTGTTCCCGTGGACATTGCGGGCCGGTGTTGTTGTTGCTGTTCCGGGTTATGCTTCTTGTGTTGGGAGATGGTGGCGAGGAGGAAGCGGAAGGGTTGGAACTCGCCCACATCCGAACCCTTAATGCGTGGGTCTGAGTGCATCGTGCCGCCCGAGATCTGGGAGCACCGAGTCTGCGGCGAGGTGATATGGCCCTGCTTGGTCGGGGAGGGTGGTGGCTGATTTTACGAGCCGGGTCGAATAGGTGTCGGAGTTTTGGCGGAGGCACTCGCGGAAGAGGGATTGGAGGGCCGGGGTGGTGGTTTTGAGTTTGTCGAGGGAGAGGGTTAATGTATCGGTTTGGGGGTCAGAGGTGATGGAGGAGGATAGCTCTGAGCGGATAGTGGAAAGCAGGTTATTTGTGCCGGACGAGGCCGTAGGCTAAAGACGTGGAGGACTATCCAGAACGTGGTCGTCGCCGTGTTGACGATGCCGGCAAAGAGAAAGGAGAGCTCGGAGCGGGCTACTGCACGGAGAGTCCAGCCGTGTTGAAGGGCAATGGCAATCCGTTGTTGGACGATCTTGGAGGCACCCTTGTTGCCGTCGCTAGGGAGGTGACGGTTTTGTAAGAGATATGCCTCAAGAGCGGCCACTAACGCCTCGCGTCCTCGGTAAGCCTTTGGGGCTGTGATGGAAGGGAAGATACCCCATTAGCAGTGATACCCAAGCCGTGGTCAAAAGTCGCCAAAAGGCAGACTCCAATTCCGGATGTAGAGAAAAAGGGTTCTGGTCGCCATAGAGCAGGTTGGCAGTTGCAATGGCAACAAAATGCCGGATCCACTGAAGGAGGTCGACCGTCTCCTCGGCCCCTTTGCTTCCTCGCAGTGCCCTAGCATACTCATCCACCTCGTTCGACAACTCCCTCACCGCTTCGAGACTCAGCTCATTCAACATCTCTCCGGGCCCAAAGTGAGAGTACACCAAATCGTGCATATCATCAAGAAAACCCTTTACTTCCCCCGGCTCAGAATCAATACGCTGCTTGACAACAGCAACCGTGTCATCGTCCAGCCCCAGCACCCGCTGAGTGATATCCGGCACCAGCGGCGTGAAAGACAGCGTCTTGGAAGCGCGCTGCACCGCTGCCGCCAGAGACGGGTCCGTGACAATGTACATGCGGGAGCGAGGCACAGGCAGCGTGAAGATGGGCTTGTCCGGGTTGCGGAGGCTGTCTCTTATGTGTCAGTGACTGGTCAATTTTCGTCTCAAGGGTAGATACGGGTCTCACCCAAGGTTCTTTACATATTTCCCACCCAGAAATGCCATGCCCAGGAGATGTCCCACGAAGGGCACCGCCGAGGGGATGACGGGCGGTTCGTCTGGGTGAGTTTTGACGAGCTGCCATCGGTAGACCAGCAGATAGGTTGTGACGAGGAGAGCAATGGTGGTGACAGCGATGTTCTCCGCTGCTACGTCTATCATGAACCCCAGGACTGTCGCCATTGTCCGTTGAATACGCCGCCCACCGAGTGCCGTGGTTGAGTTTTGGGAACTTATTCCTTCAAAAACATTGTGCCTCAATTTACTAAGTCACTGAAATAGAACAAGGTAACCCTCCCCCCCCTCTCCCCCCGAACCGACTCCATGGGAACCCGGGGCGGGACACGATTCCTCCCTTTGCAATACATCGTTGCATTGACGAATCACAGCTGATTTCTAGGTTTGGTGTCAACCGCGCTGCAATCTCCAAGACCTATAGGAAAGGAGAGGGAACCTGCAAAACCGGGATGGGCCCGAAATGGGAATGACGGGGTCCAGCCTTGTTCAGAAATAAAGGGGCGGGAGGAAACCCCCAAGAATGGCCACTCACGAAATGGCTCGATTCAATGTGGTTATTCATTTAGGTTTTCCATTCGCTAGCTAAGAAAATGCTCCGTCCTACTCTGCTCACGCAAGACACGTCATTCCTTGTCTCACCTCCCCTCCTTCCCATGTCACGCACCGCTTGCCGGGGAACGCCAGAACAAGGGCTCTCCTCCGAGACCTCACTTGGGCAAAGGTGAGCCCTTGCCTGGCGTAAACACATTCACCACCCCAAACGGTGTGCCCCCTGAACTGATCCCGCGCCCAACCGGCTTTCGGGAGGGCGTACACGGGTCAGCTGCGCTGCCACCACTGCCCTCAATCACCGTGACAGGAACGGTGTGTCTGTCCGCTGGATGACTTGATCGTCCTTCCGCGGCGGTTTGAAGTTGGTGGCCCTTCCTACCTTATAGATATCTTCGAGCATCGCCTCTAGTATACCCGCGTCCTCAAATTCGAGGTATTTGCGGTACAGTTTCAGAGCGGTGCGCGCATCCTCAATCGAGTCGTGCGTCTCAAGCTGGATGTCCTCCTTAAGAAGAAACCAGGCCAGGAAGGCGAGCGACAGCTTGCGCAGCCGCGCCTTAAGGTAAAAGACCTGGATAGTGTCGATCACCTGAGCGCGGGGCACTTGGATGTTGATAACGCGGAAATCTTGCCGGAGGCCGTGGCCTAGAAATTTGCAGCCGAGGTTGAGAAGTACCCAGAGTTTCTTGTACGCCACCTTGAGAGACACAAGGTTGTGCTTGGTGGTGCGCGGATCGAGATCGCCTGGTGTGATACCCGAATATAGCGTGAGGTAGTCCACAACGGGTTCCCTGATAGCGATGTAATCGTCGATGAAGGCCTCTCCTTCGTGTTCGCCTTGGCCCCGCACGACTGAAACTCTTGCCAGGGCGTGTGACATGGGTCTGATCGTTTCTCTCTCGCCGTCCGAGTTCATTTGGATCTCAGGCTGCTTCAGCGACACAAACTCAGTGTCCAACCCCACGATGGTGTCCGGACCTGGCGGCTCCGCCTCCAGGTCGAGCACATGGTACGTCTTTTCATCTGAGTGCGGCGTCAGATCCTGGTATAGTAACGATGTGTCTAGTTTGGTTTTCCAATCCATGTTGGTCTTGTTATTCGCGGCCTTGACTTGAAACAGCAACACAGCAGGCAGCTTCCATGCCGCGTTGAATGTTAACGCCTCTGCGGTTGAGATAGGCCGTACTGAGAAATCGTTGAATAAGTGCCACTTGCTCTCCGCCGACGGTGCTGCATCCGCATGCGCAACTATTCGATTGTCAGTACATCGAATTCTCAACCCTGACTAAAATCCAACTCACCATTGATCACGCTCACGAGATGTGTCTTCTGGGGCGAGCTGCTCTCAATGTTGACCACCATCCCGATCAACGAGTAAACCGTGATGTTGTGCATTCCTCGCTGGAGATGCAACTTTAGGTCCTCGCCCTCGAAGCAGAAAAACTGCCCCTGGTCCACGATGATGCCAATCTCCTCCGGCAGCCATCCAGGTGTCGCCCAGAGTTTCCGATGTTCCTGACTGGAAATGGCCGAGTTGATGGCGAGCACTGCGGGGACACTGTGTATCGTCTTTCGCATCTGCAAGTTCTGGTATCTTTGACAACGACTGCACCACCCCTTAGACGCGGTTTCTCTCTCGACTCCTGTTTTAAGCACTTGGGAGAATGTCGTCTTGTGCATTCTACCACCTCTAGCGGAGCCCTTCGGCGGTGGGTACATTAGATCGTTGACTTGTGCGGTGCCAGGGCGCGTGGTCTCGCTTCGGCAGTTCATGCACTTGATGGTTACCACGGCTGATGTCGCGAGGACCCTCGACACCAATTCGTCCGGAGTGGGAGGCTGCGGGAGGTTGAAAAGAGTTTGCTCTAGCGTAGTTGAAATCGGGTTTATGCTTCGGTAGTCATGGTTGATTCTGTCGAACAGGAACCTACTCAGCCCCTGAGACATGGTTGATAGTGATGGTACGTGTGTTTCCTCTTCGAGTAGTCCCAAAGGCGCAGCTTGAGGGGTGGCGCCCAAAGCTTTGAACATGTTCGTTGCCTGGCATGTAGACCCTTCTGCCTTCTGTAACATGTCAAAGACGAAACCTAACTCGCACAACAAACACAAATCAGTCACACACGCGGTGGCGGCATGTTGAAGGGCCATGTTCCGCAAAAGGGGGGTATAATGTATGAGCTGCAAAAGCGAATTCGCATATGAGTTCGGAATGTGGTTCTCTAGACCGGCGTACTGTGTCTTATTGTAGTACCTTTGAAAAGCAGCCTGTCAGCTCTGTCCATCGCGAATGGACCGGGATCCGGAGGGGGGGAAAGGCCTTCGCTTACCCGAAGTCAAAGTCATCCCACGCCAAACTTGCTGTATTTGATTTCCAGGTTCCGGTATATTGGCGGCGCCTCGGGTTTTAGGCTCTCGAGCTCGTCCGTTGACGACTCAGGTACCTGCTCCACCTTGGGGTCGGGTACAGCGGCGCTATAGGACATGGCCGATTCCCGCGCCTTTTCGCTCAAGAACTTCGGTGGCTGCATGGATGGCTTCATGCATGCTCGGGTGTCTTCGACTTGGTTACGGCGTAGACCTCGCGAGTTTCTCCCGTAAAAGCCCCATTCCATTTGCTTAAGAGAAGCCAGGAATGACGGGTCTAGCTGCACGGGCGGCGCGCCAATGTCGGAGATGATATCGGAAGGCCAGGCGGAGAATAGTTGTTCACGGTAGTAGGGCATTCCTATCGAACTCAGGGGGCTATCGACGATGTCAGTCGGGAAAGGTGGGGGTAGTATTGGCTCAGGAGGTATGCCTACGTATCTGGCGACCAGTCGAGCATGGGAGCGGGCTCCTCCGCCTTTGGCATTTCAATTGGGATGGCCATGTCGGTGAAGTGGATCTTGGAGGGTGAACCCCAAAGATGAATGTTGCACTCTGTGTCGGCCATGGCGAGAGCCTCTCCAGAAGGTGCTATTTCGAAAAGATTGATAAACGACATCACATTTGCGTACCGCACGTTGCTCGTGTTGGGATTCATGATGTCCACCACATGCATCTGTCCGTGCTGGGAGGTCACGATGCTAGTGGTGAGCATTCTCGGGTGCAACCTAACGTGGGCTGCCAGGGGTGGAAACGGCATTGGTTTCATCGAGGTCATGTTCTTTAGGTCAAAGACATTGACGTATGGGTCAAGCATGTAGGTCTGAGCGGCCTGCTGCTTGAGAGAACCTCCACAGGTGACAATGAAGTCATTTTGGGCGTCCATGTCGTTGATGTACGACGCGTGGGCTTGCCAGCTTCGGACGGTTTTAAACGTGATAGGGTCGAGAAGATCGACGCAGCCGGTCCGGGTGGCGGCGCAAATATACTTGCTTTTCTTCATAATGGTGTAGTGATGTAGTGTAGCGACCTTCGGTCAGATGTAAGCTGGGGGACTGGACGGTGAAAAGAACCCCGAACAAAGAGAGCTGAGCTTACCTGCTTGACAATCTCCCCCTTGACAACGTCGATAACAAACATGGTGTCTTGAAATCCAGCGACGATAATCTCAGAGGCGCCTTTCGAGGTGAAACTCATGCATTGCAGATTTTCCATTTCATCGTGCCTACATCCCAGGTCAGCGATTCAAACGGTTTCCCCTCCTCCGCGGCGCCCGGATGCCCAGTGTGATCGTACCGAATATTCCAGAGTGTGGGTCCCCTTCGCATCGCCATGTGCACGCTCCGGGTTCCGAGCGCAATGACGCCTTTGTCGTGGAAAAGGAATTGCCGTACTGGGCCCTCGGACGGGGGGTGGATCTTGAAGGCCGTGTACCGCTGCAGGTCGCGGCCGTAGAAGGAGACCACACGGCCCTGATATGGTCAGAACCATGATCGCGAGCAGAATTGGAGAAGGGAATCGCTGGTGTCTGTGTCTGGGGACATACTCGGTCGTTGCCAGCCCATAATAACTCGGCGATGGTGTCGAAAGCTAGAGCGGTGGCCGGTCGGGGGTAGTCATTGGAGCCGGGCGCCGGGAAGGCGATGCGGGTCACCTGCTCGGATGCATTGCGCGGTCAGTTATGCTGTACATGTGTGCCATGTCGGAGCCCGGGCATGATTTTTCGGCCGGTAAAAGGTGAACGGAGCCGGGGGGACGAAGGGGAGAGTCGAGCTCCAAGTACACCCATCGCGGGGTCGTGCGCCGACGCGAACACACACTCAGCCCGCGTAACGCAGACAACGAACTTGGAATTTCGATGCCATTGCCCCTACTCTCCTAAAAATAAAATGAAAGAGCTTACCTCGTCCCAGTCTGCATCCATGGCCAGGCCCCAATCACATTTTCAATAAACAAGGGGAAACGGGGGATTGTCCAAAATTGCTGGTTTCGATAGTTATGTGGTCGGTCCAACCACAATTGTTTCTGGTTTCCAGTGGCCTTTCAGCCTTGCCGTCGCCTCGTGGTCAGGTGATTTAAATTCAAGGCATACAAAACAAGCTGGAAGTGAAAAGCGAGAATCTTTGTTCATTGGACCAAACAACGAGTCGAGTATTAAACATCTATATAAGAGTTGGTCTCCTCAGTCTCAGTCTTCTATATTTGGTCTCGAAATCAAATACATTAAAATGGTTGTTGAGATGCAAACGAAAGTGTATTCTTTATTGTCCGAATGCTGAGCCACTAAGGCTGCGTGTAAGTGAAGTAATTTTCCAAGAACAGGTACCTCAGTTAAAGCACAAATTTACAGATTTCTCTCTCCCTATCAATGTAAATTTAGTTTTAAAACTAGATAGGTATAGACGCTTAAGGTTAGAAAGACCAACTTTTGCATAGAACTCTAGTATTTATCTCCCCGTTTTGATGTAGTAAAGTAAGGTAGGTTCTACTTTTGCACTAACAACTGTTGTATACGTTCGCTGTTACGTCCGGGCATTTTGCGCTGTCCGGTAATTTTAGGCCTTTAATCACGAGCCTCTCGCAGGCACCGGGCCGGGCTGCGAGGTCACCGAGCCAATACCTCACTAAGCGGAAGAACGATCAACCGAAAAACCGACCGGTTGCCAATTAAATGCAAGGCACCTAATCGATTTCCCGATTGTATTTCTGTGATGCTTCTGCTCCAAAACGAACACAGGGAATAATAATGCGGAATAAGGAATACATCTCTCCGGACAACCAGCACTGCTAGACTATGTACTGTCTCGTCTCGCAAGGCCCGTGGTATACTGACAGCCAAACCACCCAAAAGGAAATCATTCTCATCAACCAAGCGTACCCAAACACCAGAGACAGAAAAGAGAAGGAACACTCAGTAATGCAGCACACCGACCGACCAAACCATGGAAACTCGTTCAAGGTTCAAATGGCCTACCGAGTGAGGAACCCAAGATAATCCGCCACGATCAATGTCACCATCCTACAAAGCAGAGTGGACTGTCAGCATTAAACCCTCCGCAGAAGCGATGAAGGGAGCACTCACGCATGCGGCGCGATGCGCACGTAGTATGTTCCGAACCCGCGATAGAAGCGCATGACGCCCTCCTGCTTAGCGACCTTGGCGAAGCAATCGGCCATCCCGTTGTACGGCAGCTTCCCGTCGGGGCCCCGGGACTGCTTCTGCAGGCGGGTCTTGACGAAGTCGAAGGGCAGCGAGAAGAAGCTGGCGAAGAAGCCGGCGATGGCGCTCGCGCTCAGGGTGACGCCGTTTGTGGACCAGTTGGTGCGCGTCTTGAGCTGGGCCTTGGCCTCGCTGAAGAAGGCGAGCTGCCCAAAGTTGAGCGCCATGGCGCGCACCACCGTCGGCGCCGCTCCCGCCCACAGCGCCCCGACGCCCTCGCTCTTCGCAATGGACCCCAGCGCGTCGATGACCGATTTGTAGTTCTTGCGCTCGGCGAGCGGCTTGAGCCCGTCGCTCTGCATGCGGATCAGCGCGAGATCCGCCGGGTTGCCGATCATGGCCGCCAACCCGCCCGCCGTGAGGCCCGCTGTCGCGCGCTCGGCGAAGCCTATACTTTGGCCCTTGGCCTTAGCACGGGATGTGAGGCTAATCATGAAGGTATCGAAGAAGCCGAGGCGGGCGGTGGTGTATACGGCTTGTCGGAGAAGGCCGGCTGAGAGGCCTGTGTATAGGTCGAGGGCCTTTCCGCTCGCGAGGATCTCGCGGGTGACGGAGAGCGGCGTCGGCTTTGGCCCGCCGGCCTTGCCCTCGCCTGCCAGCTGGATGCGAACCTTGACCATGTCCACGGGCTGGATCACCGTAGTGGCGACCATGCCGCTGAGCCCGCCATTGATAAAGGGCAGGGCGGCCCGCATGAAGGGTGTGTGCAGGAAGTCATTAGCGACGGCGACGCCGTCGCTCCTGACACTCTTGGCCGTGCCCATCATTTCGTTTCCCCTAGAACGTGCTGCTTCAGCCGCCTGTTTGATCGAGTTGGACATGGCAACGCGGGTGTTTGAAACTAATAGGCGTCTAGGTGACGAGGATTGCTGACCGCTTTGGCCGTTCCACAAGCCCAACCCCCAACAATTTTATAGCCCCTGACTTGGTGATCCTCAACACGCCCGGGTCTCGCACCCTACAAAGTCGCGATTACATTGTTAGCCCGCTGTTCGCTCTTATCGTCGGGTTTCGGAGGTGGGTTCCATCCACCAGCTAAGACCAATGAAACCGGAACCTCTCCAGCTCTCAGTCCGGGGAGCTAAGCCGACATCGATGCCGTCAAACGTCCCAGGAGAGTAAACAGGCCAGGGTGCTTTCCCCACTGATGTTCGCCAAGCCGATCTCCCGGTAACCGTCGGCAAGCCGGGCGGGTGGTCGACACGGACGACTGGAGCCGATGACTTTGACGCGGCCTGGGGGACCAATTCGGGATAAAACATCGGAAAATGCAGGAGGCCCGGCTGCACACGGCGGGGTGGAAGCTCGTCATTTGGCGCCCCTTGTGTTCTGGAAGGCCGCTTCGGCAATGGGGCGTCCGCATGTGGGGTCCCCCGATTCTCCAGCCAGGAATGCGGGAATGGGGAACGGAAGGCTTCTCAGCCAAATCCAGGGATCACTCACATCCCTCCAAGCTGGGATCAATTAAGAAGAAAATGGAGCACCGAAAACCTACTCTTGTAAAAGAAGCTGAACCGTGAGGCACTCGGTCGTTTTGTCTTAGAAAATGGCGTGCGTATGTCCGCGGGAATGCTTCGGTCGCCCGCTACAATAGGTGTACCCAGTTGGGGCGCTGTGGCAGCTCTCGGGTGTTTGCGGGGTCGCGTGCCCAGATCGGTTGTCGGCCGGCCAAACGATAGCAGTAGATAACGGCGGTAGGGAATATGGGATTCTTTTCGGTCAATTTTTATTGTGTTTGGGAGATGCGATAATGCAGGAAAGCAGGAGCTCGATTCTAGGAGTAGTGTGTTGGGAGGAAAGAAAGGGATTCAAACAAAGGATGGAGTTGGCTGAGGTCAAGAAAGTGCAAGTCGGTCGTCACAGACCCGTGGACGTCAAGCGTCCCTGCTTGGATATTTATGGCAAGTGACCTGACCTATTACTTGACTGACATCCCGGGCAATTACAGCAGGTTCGTCTCATGTGTGGTGTGAGGGGTCGCGTACTCCTCACATCCAAGGTATTCTGCCAGTACTGCACATGCTTTTCTGGTAACCGTTCCAACCAGACGTGTCCATCCACACAATGCTGTGGAAAGGATACGCGGGGTGCAGCATCGACGAAAAGGGATGCAACTCGCTTCCCGTCCGTTTTTACCTGCTGGCGAGCCACACGAAGTCCTTTGATGTCCTTCGATGTACCTTCTCTCCCGCGCCGTGCCACTGGCATATTCCTTGACGGCTGGATGGATGCACACGCAGACACATCGAGAGCGGGGTTATTGATATTACTCGGGAGGCAATTCTGAGTCAAATTCTGAAGCCGGTGCCAGTTTTGTGACGCTTGTTGACGCCATCAACTTTCTTCATGACTCTCCATCTTCAAATCCGAGAATGGTCTTGCCTTGGTTTGGTTAAGGTCCGTTTTAAGTCATTCTTCATCAAAGAAAGGCACAGAACAGGACGCATCAACCCCAACGCATCCATCTCTGGAACGGGATCACTCGTGAGTGGGTAGGACAGCGTCAAACGTGAGGGGAACTTGGAGGGTAGCTGAAGGAGGGGGACAGGAAGGGAGCTTCAGTTCCTGTTCTTGCCGACCTACCCCTCTCTCCTAATGATATTGGCCAACCCAGAGTTGCCGGATCGCGACAATCCGCCAAATCTGAGTTGGGGGGTTCCTGCATGGCTGCACACATAGAGCAACCCCCTTGGTATGCTGGTCAGCGTTGTCGCCTGGACTTCCCGTAACTTGGAATGGGTGGTGTTGTTTCTACCCCGCCATCGCCTGGGTTGATCAGATCTCGTTGCATAGTGCAGCCGATCATCCTTATCTCTCATCTGCACGGAGGGTTTTGTATGTATCAGAGGGTGGCTGTTGTCGCGAAAGCATCTGATACCAAACCACCGGGTTTCATCTCGAACCACCCTTTTGACGATGGCCTCGACTTACACGCCGTCAGACAGAGTGGGTCTGACTCCATTCCCATGCTCCCATACCACCGAAAACACACTGCCGACCCCGGGCAGCTGCACCATTGCGGGGTCAATGCTTCGCTGTTTCACTATCGATAAGCTGCTGTCCAGTCCGCGCCGGGCGGTTTCTTTGAAGCATCTCAACAGCTGAAGCAGATTTTTCATTGATATCCTAGTCTGCAGCATTGAATTGTGGGATTGAATTCAATCCTCAACACAAATGATCGAGTTTCAGTGGAGAAGGAGGGTCAACAAAGCCTTAAGTGACGTCATGTGATCTCACAAGGCGATAATCGTCGATGGGGCCCTGTCTGCCCCACATCACCCAAGCGCAGGGGAGCCAACAGGGGGCAACTGCCAAGACGCAACAACCTCATCATTGCTGTGAACGAGGGCGAGCCGAAATAGCTTCCACCAAAGCCTAGATTGTCACATTGTGTAAAGAATAGTATGTACATTTTAGACTAACTCTATACATAATCTCTGTTTATGACTTTGGAACTCGAAAGGCTGATGGTGGATTATATACCTAATGTGCTTGACGAGTTTAGTTAGCCAAATAAAGAGAAAGAGACGGTTGCTGTGCCCGACACTAACACTCCAACACTTCAACAATATGGCAATGGGTATTCAACTTGCAGATAACTCCGGCCTCATTTCTCTGAATCCAAAACAGTATCTCTTTTTCGTATAAACCAACCCCAACAACCCAATGCCTCCACTACACTCAGGTAGCTAGGTTATCTACATGTACCTACTGGGTACTTGTTCAATGTTGTTGTTGCTTCACTTTCTGATGAGTGCTCGCTTCGGTTACTTCCAGTCCTTGAAATAAACTATGGAGGAGGAATCACACAGGAGACGGGGACATAGAATATCAATGCTTGTGAAATCTAGTCATATGTAGGTTGTAGTGTCAGGAGTCATCCTCGCGCACACAGAGCTCCAGAACCATATACAACAACACTCCCACTCAACTCTCTATCACAGCCACAAGCTCTTCACTTTTCAGTACCCCGTACTGGGGAACGTACCCAGCCGTCCACCATCAACCACAATGGTGTTCCCGTTCAGGTACGCGCCCGCCCGCGAGGCAAGATACAAGATCTGGCCAGTCATGTCGGTTTCATCGCCCATGCGGCCGAGCGGAACCATGGATTTGTCCAGGCGAATCGTGCTATTCTCGCCTGTCATGGAGCCGCCGGACGCCTGAACAATGGGAGCCGCCATCTCGCTCGGGAACACTGAATGCCGTTAGCCACCAGCACATTTCGTCCGGTTACAGTGGGAGGGATACTCACAGCCAGGGCAAATGCAGTTGGCTCTTTTTGTCGACAGCTTCGTCAGCAACAGTTCCCCATACCCACGAAGCAGTAAAAAAAGGGAGAGAACAAAAAAAAAAAAAAAAAAAAACACTCACCGAATCCCCCACGTCGGCAACACCACGCTCAGCGACTTAGCAATATGCGTCGCCGCCGCCTTGCTCGGCCCATACGCCCAACCCCCCGGCGCGCTCTTATTGAACCCAGCAATACTGCTGGTAACCACGACCTGACTACTAACCCCCTCCCCCTTCCCCCCCCACCCCTCCCTCTTATTCCCCTCATCCAACAACTTCAAAAACGCCATCGCCGTGAACCACACGCTCGTACTATTCACCGCGAACGTCGCATTAAAATCCTCGCACCGCACCGCCATCTGCTCGTCGCGCCACTCCTCCAGCGCCGTCAGCCCCGGCACGGGCGGACGCACCTGGGGGCCGCCGACCCCGGCGTTGCACACCAGCAGGTGCAGGTGGCCGACGTCGGTCTCGACGACCGACACCACACTCTCCAGGCTCACGCGCGACGTTACGTCGCAGTACAACGGCACGACCACCGACGGCCGGTTGATGGAGCTCGCCGCCGCCTGGAGCACGTCCACGCGCCGTCCGACAATGTACACGCGCTTGGCGCCGGCGAGGGCGAGGGCGCGCGCCATCATGAGGCCGATGCCTGGTTTGGGGGGGAGAGGGGGGGTGGGTTAGTTGGGGTTCTTGGGGGGGTTCTTTTTCTCTGGCTTTTCTTTTCTTTTTTTCTTCTTTTTTTTTCCTAGGGTGGTAGGTAATGGGAGAGAAAAGGGGCAGCTTACCTGTGCCACCTCCAGTGATGAGGGCGACGATGCCCTTGACGGAAAAGAGGTCCTCCACGCTCTTGGGAGGAGCGGGGTTAGGAACTGGAGCTTCCATGCTGGCCTCGGCTCGTATCCAAAAAGAGATGTTGTGTTATTGTGGGTGTAAGACAAAACTGCGCCGTGAGCTGCCTCAAATTTGGATGGGATGACAGAAAGGACGGTGGTAGTTAAGTGGTGGTTTGACCTGGAAAAGTTCAGTTAGCGCGGGGTTCTTTGACTTAACTATGATACATTCTTCAAAGTACGTTTCCAGTATGGAAAGCGAGAAGTCATGGGGGGAAAACATTTGTCATGTTGTTTAATTGACTCACCTGTTGTCTTTTGAGGCACAATTTCAGGTTGATACGAGAACCTGGCGCTGTCGTCGTTGTCACGATCGAGGTTAGGCTTCGGTTGATTGCCCCGCCTTGGCCCCGCTTGACGTTCAGTCCAGCGGCCGCTTCCAGGCTGGAGCTGATCTTGAAGATGTTCTTTCCGTAATTTTTGTAATAGTCTCTTCTGGAAGGCAATTGGCTTGGTGGTGAGAGCATGGTAACCACGGAATGGTCCTCTCACAAGATGGAAATCACAGCGAAGATACAAAGCGAGTTGGTTTCTCCCCACTTTGCCAAAGGGCATGGTATCAGTTGACATAACCCATTTTTCCGGAAGCATCTACTACGGGAAACTACATTGGGGAAGAAATAAAATAAAAATAAAAACACCGGGCGCAAATCATCACCGGGTAGATCTATAAACAGGCTTCGGATTGCCTCATGCCTCATGCCAGCTCCGACTTGGTCATTCCTTAAGCATCGGTGATGAGTCTGGTGATCTTGCCAATAGCAATGGTTTGACCCTACACAAAACGTCAGCTGTGCTTGTGCTAGGCATACTCGAAAGTGTTGACTTACCTGGTCGCGCAGGGTGAAACGACCCATCTGGGGGTAGTCCTCAAACCTTTCCACACAGACGGACCCAGCACCACCTGTCACCTGCAGGATAGCAATAATGCTATCACCCTTCTTGGCGTGTGATGGAGGGAGCTTGCTCTTTCTGTTGGTGCCCTTCTGAAGCTTGTGGAGCAGCGAAGCGAACGTGACCTCCTCGATGGCGGCATGGACGTGCAAGACGCAATTAAAGCCAGCACTGAGAATGCTCTTCAAGTCCAAGATCCGGATTTGCGCCTCGAATTGGGACACGTTGTTCACCAGACGCTTAGGTGAGCAGAGGACGAAGCCGGGTGTGATCTCTTCTTCTTCGATGCCGCGGAGACGAAGGCGCACTTGGTCACCGCATTGAGCAATGGCCACTTCATCTTCGGTCTCGCCGTAAGCAGCAGCAATATCGACTGTCTGCTTGTTGGGCATCATGATCACGGTCATGCCCTTCTTGACCACGCCCGCCTCAATCTTGCCTTCAACCATAGTGCCCATATCACGATACTTGCTGGCTATAGCCATCATGAACGGCGCGTTGACCTTGCGCTCGAGGGCCTGCATGCCATCGAGGTACTCTAGAAGCGATGGTCCGTCATACCACGGGCACTTGTCCTTAGGCACGCGGTCCTTGATGCCCATGGTCTGCTGCGCCGCGATGGGCATGAAAAAGACGTCTGTCTTGACGTTGTACCCTGTGCCCTTCAAGAATTGCTGCAACTTGCTGGTGCACTCGGTGTAGCGCTCGTGGGACCAGTTGACCGTCGGGTCGTCCATCTTGTTGATAACCACCACCAGCTTGTTCACTCCCTGAGTCTTGGCCAGCATAGCGTGCTCGCGGGTTTGGCCGCCCTTTTCGAAACCTGTCTCGTACTCGCCCTTCCGCGCACTGATGACCAGAATGCCGACATCGGCTTGCGAAGCACCGCCAATCATATGAGGCACGTAGGTCTTGTGACCAGGAGCGTCGAGGATACTGTACTTCCGCTTATCCGTCTCGAAGAAGCCGCGGCCGACCTCAACCGTCTTACCCTTGGCGCGCTCTTCGTTGGTCGAATCCAGAGCCCACGACAGATACCACGTCTCACGGCCCATCTCCTTGGCTTCCCTCTTGTACTTGTCGAGCGTCCGCTGGTCCACCATTCCCGTGGCGTACAGGATGGAGCCGCCAAGTGTACTCTTGCCGGCATCGACGTGGCCGATGAAGATGATGTTGACGTGCTCCTTGCCGTAAATTTCCTTGAGTGTGTCCTCGTCCACGTCGGCGGTTTGCTCCTTCTCAACAGCGTCAGCATCGCGGGCCGCTTTGGCGGCTCCTCCACGAGACGGGCTGGATCGCCCCGAGGATGGCGTGGGCGAAGTCTTGCCGCTAGCTGCCTTGGAATCCGCCTTGTCGATCGCCTTGGCCGCTGTGACTTTAGCAGCAGCCTCCGCGGTGCCCTCCTTCTTAGCCCCCTCTTTTTTGGTCTCCTCCTTCTTGGTCTCCTCCTTGGCCGGGGCGGTCGCGCCGATGGACAGGACCTTAGCCTTGGGCTTCGGTGCGTCGCCGCCAATGCTTAAAACCTTCGCGCCACCCTCCTTCGCAACGGTCGGCTTTGGCGCATCCCCCGCGGCGGGCGTATCAGTTGGACGCTTCACAATCGTGGGTGCCGGCTTCGGGGCCTGTTGTTGCGCTTGACTTTGCTGGGGCTGCTGCTGGTAGCCTTGCCACTGACCTATCACCATCATAAGCATTCGTTCCGAGACATAGGGGTGAGTGACATAGTCTTACCGTATTGCTGGTGTTGGTTGTATCCACCCTGGCCCTGCCCATAGACACCGCCGTAGCCCTGTTGCGGATGCTGTTGACCATACTGTCCGAAAGCCTGTTGGCCGCCGTATTGCGGGTAATACCCCTGGCCGCCATAGTACTGTTGCTGCTGATATTGCCCATAACCACCAGCCCCGCCAAACCCTTGGGCTTGGCCCGGCTGAAAAGTCTGGGCCGTGGGCTGGAAAGAGGCGGCACCAACCCGGAAGCCAGCTTGGGCCTGCTGAGCGCCGATATTCATCTGCTGCTGGGCCTGGCGGGCCAAGTTCTCATCCTGAGCAGCCGGGTCGTCCTCCCATGAATCCTGGACGTTGGACATCTCGTCGAAGCGCCGTATATAATTTGGTCTAGGGACTCGTGCGTTTTCGGGTGTCTGGAATTGCGAGATAAGTGTTAGTCGAAGGGCGAAGAATGACAAGTCAAATAAACGAAGCTGGGGGATATGTCTGAGGTGGAGGATGACGAACTGGCGTGACTGTTTTGCCAAGCAGAAAGTAGCTTCAATTGTCACGTATCTCTAAACAGAGTATATTGCCCTTACCGGTTGATACACAGCGCGGTGACTCGACGGTACCTCTTCTAGCGACTTTCAGTGACTTTCAGTGACGGCAGAATGAAAGAAGATTTGTTGTTGCCCCACCATTCATGCTGGCGGGGAAAGAGGGTTTTGGCTGTACGGTGGGGAGACGTGCGACACACGGTCTGCCCCCGCCTAATCCTTGTCAATCTCAGCGGCCAAGAGAGGTTAATTGGGGCCTTCGAGAACAGCCCTATGCACAGTGCGAAGCTGCACGGCAGCCAACGCACCCACCAGGGTGCCTGGATGCCTAACAATCCAGCCTATCTGAGACCAGAGACCTTGGTGAGGTTTAGGCAGGGAGAGTGGCTTTCATCAGGTCGGGTGCACACGAACAAGGCGCTAGAACAAGGCATTCAAACGGGAGGGCCCAGTCCCAGTTTGTCCATCGGTCAACAAAGCCACCGCCTCCATGTTTGTTTTCACTCGTTAATATTTTACATTATGCCCAAACTCCAACACCAGAATGGACGTGCTGAGTGAACATGGATGCACTCTTGCAGACTCTTGGAGTTCAGACCTTCAACTTCGCTGTCCGATCCGGGATCGCCCTCACATCCCGTTACGCGGTGCAGCAATGCTCAAGGCTACTGAAATCAATCAATGACAAAGCCGTCCGCTCTGAGTTTAAGGCACTGCAGAAGCTCCTGGACAACAAAATCAAGGTATGCTTTGCCGGCCCGATCCCACATCTCTACTACCTACCTCCCGACCTGCCTATTCGATATCGGCTAAACTAGATCCCAATAGATCCTCTCTCCTGCTCTCGACTTGATTGAGTTCAAGTACGGTGACCCAAAATGAGTCACTCAGTCAATAGGCAGCAATACTGACCCGACCCATTTGCAGATCCAGCCGAGGGAACGTATTCTTAGAATCAGCGGTGCCCCTCGCCAAATCCCTCCACCGAGAAATCGTCCGCCTTGGAAAGCGGCTACACAATGCGGCCACCACGACTGAGGAAGAAGCTCATGGTGCAAATCCGAGGGCCCATGGTGGCCGTATATCGGAAGAGCGCCATGCCGAACTGTTGCTCATCATCAAGGACATTAAGGACCTTCTCGCACGAATCGACCGGGATATACCGCTTCTTCAGTTCGCCATCACAGTCTCGGGCGAGAAGATGTCCACCGCCATGACCCCCGGCATCTCACCTTCTAGGATGATGCAGGCTAGTGCCCTGCTCTCCTTTGCAGATGCCCACTTCGTCGCGGACCCCCATCGGCCCATCCAGGTCGGGCCTTCTTTCACACTCTCCCTCTACATGTTGTTCCTTGGCCATTCTCAAGTTGAGTCAAATTCGGAGCACCATGCTCCTCGAGAAGCCCCTTATGGCATTGGGGAAGGCGAACGGAAACCCATATGGCAGGAGGTTATGCATAAAGCTCGAGTGCGACTTTGCCGGGTTCCTGCCAGCTGGGTATTTGATTCTGCTCAGGGGTACCAGCCAGACAGCTTCCATGACTCGCACCTTGCTGGCACCGTCTCGCGGAAAACAGCAATTCCGCTGCCTGGGCCCTCCGATGGATATTCATACCACCTGGAGGTCATCGAGGACTTGGACGACGGGAGGCTTCACGAGGGGGAAGGGCCAAAATCTCAGCCCTATGATGACATGCCAATGGCTGGCATCCGGGAGTCCATTCCGATCCATCAGATTTCCAAGATCTTCTACACGGATACTGGAAGAATTCTCAACATCGGACACAATGACGAAGGGGAAAATAACCCGATCCTCCTCTTGAAGAGGGATGTCAACGCCAAGTGTCCGATCAGGATGCGGCAAGAGTGGTTCGACGACCCAGACAAAAAGGAACACCATGGGTCACAGTTTGATCCCGCCGACGAATCATCTGAGTCTGATGACCAGGACGACGTAGACCGGCAGTTATGGGAAGAGACTGAACATTCTGCCAAGTCACCAGCCAGCCAGGACAGCGCTCGAGCAACATCCCTACCTCCGCACCTGGACTCTGAATGGTTGGCTCTGGAGGTATATATAGACGACGATGACGTCGAAGAAGACGACGACGATGAGAGCTTAGGGGAGGATGCGGACAGTGGTGGCGAAAAGATAAACCAGACCACCTCACCCAGTAAGGCTCAAGTGCCGCACGAAGGGCTCTCGGTGAACTCCAACCTCGCTTCTCAAATCCAGCGCATCTCGATACGGTCCGACTCACCTTCCCAGGACCTCCACAGCCACGGTACAGCCGACCTCAACAAACATCGCGAAAACATAGCGGACACGTACGTGTCAAGGTCACCTTTTGGGTCCATTATATCGTCACTTTCGCTCCTGGAGATGTTAGTCCGGCTCACCAGTCTGCAAGAATTTCAGCAGACCTCCCACTTGGCGATCCCCGACCACATTCTCACATTCTTCTTGGAGGAGACCTCAACAACAGGGTTACACGGTGAAGCGCACTGGCGGATGAGGAGTGAGGCGAAACGTCGTATGGGTTTTGACCCTTACACTGACTCTTTTCCGAGGGAGGCCGAGGAATAGAACAAATAGGTGGACTTTGAGAGAAAAAAATGACAATCTACCTAACTTTTACATTCCATGATGGCATCATCCCAGCCTTTTCGTTCCCTTGGCAGACACGGTTATCATCGGCAACGAAAAGCTCGGGCATCATCTGCTTTCCATTCGATTTGCTTCGCTCAATAAAGGACGCGATGATTGACGGGGTTAGCTTTTCTAACCTAAAGGGTATATATGTTGGTTGAGTAAAAGCTAAGTTTTGAAGGTTGGCATCACGGTCCAACCCCCACGCCCCCAATCCCGGGCGGGATGGCCATTAGTGTATGCGATACCGGAGCATCGCGAACAAATATTTTTCAGCCCAGCGACGAGGCGTAATCAACATCGGAGGTGAGCCAAAAATCTACAGGCTCGCCCGTTCAATCAACGTCATGGCAACTGAGAAGAACAACCCGACCATGAACCGAGACGTCGAAGCGGCACCGCCCGCACCGAGCGGTCATGAGAAGCATGAGAGAGATGTGGCCGCCAAGGATGAAGCAATCGCCATGGTCGGCGAGCAAGAGCATACCGTTGACCCCGTGGTCGTTGCGCGAGCAGTCCGCAAGATAGACTGGTTCCTAATTCCCGCCATGATCTTTGGCTGTAAGACCCCACTCCTACATCTTCGAACCCCCCACTAACCCCCCCTTCCAGATGGCATCGTCTACTACGACAAAGCGATCCTCGGCTCGGCCGTGCTCTTCGGCATGACCGCCGACCTCTCCCTGACGGTCACGGACGCGTCGACAACGCCACCTACGGTCGACACGTCGCGGCTCTCGTGGGCGACGTCGCTCTTCTACTTCGGCATGCTGGCGGGCCTGTATCCCATGTCCTTCGCGCTGCAGCGCTTCGACATCGGCCGCGTCCTCGGCGCCATCGTCCTGCTCTGGGCCGCCATCTGCATGCTCACCGCCGCCGTCACCTCGTACCAGGGCCTGTATGTCCAGAGGTTTTTTCTGGGGTTTGTGGAGAGTATTGTCCCTACGGGGTTTATGTGCATTGTGTCGGGGTTTTATACGCAGAAGGAGCAGAGTCTAAGGCAGAGTTGGTGGTTTAGCAGCACGGGGCTGTTTACCATCATTGGGGGGGCGCTGAATTATGGGTTTGCGCAGATCCAGGGGGGTGGGCTGAGGAGCTGGCAGTATATTTATTTGTTGGCAGGGGTGTTGACGGTGGTGTTTGGCTTGTTTTGCTTTGCCATGCCAAACTCGCCCGTCACGGCCTGGTTCTTGACCGAGGAGGAACGGTTTGCGGCCGTGGAGAGGCTCCGGTACAGCCAGACCGGGGTGCGGTGTACGAGCATCAAGATGGGCCAGGTGAAGGAGTCGTTGTTGGATGTCAAGACATATTTGATCTTTGTCATGATGGCGTCGGCGTATGTTGCCCCCCCCCCTTTTTTCCTGTTCGTGATGGCGTGATTCTAACGTGGGATTGACAGGTATACCATGAACGGTGCGGTCAGCGGCTTCGGCCCACTCATCGTGTCGACATTCGGCTGGAACACCTTGCATTCGATTGTGTTTCAGTTCCCACTTGGGGCACTCTGCTTCATCGTCATCCTCGTGACGGGGTACTTGGGGTCTAAAATCCCCAACATCCGCCTCATCATGCTCATCTTGACATGTCTGCCCGTCATCGCAGGCTGCGCCATCATCTGGAAGAGCGAGTGGTCGTACCGGGCCGCGGCACCGGTCGTTGGCTATTCCATTACCGGCTTCTTCGGCGGGACGGTCAGCCTCATCATCACGGTTGGAATGTCCAACGTGGCGGGTCACACTAAGAAGAGCTTCATGGCCGCCACCATCTTCGCTGCATACTGCGTGGGGAATATTGTTGGGCCACAGCTTGTCAAATCGCAGACAAGGCCACAGCACTACCCCGAGCTGTGGCTAGGATTGATCATTTGGTATGTTCCTCTGCCTCCCTGTCCACTTACCTTGGTACCTGTTAACATTCGTGATAGCTACATAATATGCATTGTAGCATCGGCCACCCTCTACGTCGTATTAACAACAGCAAACAAGAAGAAGTCAACGGTGCCCGAGGACCAGCCGGAGCGAGCGAAGCTGGCGTTTCAAGACTTGACAGATATGGAGAACCCCTACTTCAGATATGTCCTATGAGAGGTTCATCGGCGAAATCTATGTCCTGGTTGTATAGCCAGCGAACTGGCCACATATGTACACGGTGTTATCATATCACATGTCATGACGACGATTACTTAGCGGTGACGAATATTATGACGGGCTACCATAACCAATCTTTTTTCTCTCTCTCCAAATTAAAGTAATGAATATTACTTCCCGTTTACCTAGTCACTAATCATCGCCATGGCGGACAGACACAGCACGACGAGACGACATGCAATGATTCTTCAAAATTCGGCAGAACAGGCACGTTCATACTGGGCGACTCTACCCCTAGAGATCAGTCTCCTAATTCTCGAGATCATCATAAAGGAAAGGCATCCCGGCTGGTCTTCATCCGCGGGGTCGTCTGCCAAGAATGGCAGTTTGTTATCGAGAAGGAAAACTTCCGCCGCCTACACCTGCACGCAGCATGTCTGGACGATTTCGAACGCGTTTCAGTTCGGCGGCAACACCTCATCTCGTATATCTCACTCAATATGGCGGGCCTCTGCAATTGCCCACGTTGCTTCAGGACTGGTTGGGAAGCGGAGGAAACGCGGAATTTGTCCATCATTAGAGAAGGCCTCTGGAAGCTGTTTTCTATTCTCAGCGGCTGGACGTTAGTGACACAGAAAAGCCTAGAGTTGGAGCTCAAGGCACATCATTCACCTAGCAACTCGGACCGCTGGTTCAAGATGAATCCCCGAAAGGAGACACCGCCACGGAAACAGGGCAGGTTGCACCCGTTGTCATCTATCGGCCTGCGGTTTCCAACCGAACTTCCTCGAGTGGACGTCGTCACTCGGCTCACCCTCGGTAGACAACTCCAACACCGGCTCCAGCCTCTGCAACTACGAAGTCTGCTCCACAAGCTCGGCCACTTGGAGTACATGGTCTACGAGCCCGAGAGAGATTGGAACAGATTTTACGCCGGCGCCTTGATGACAACATACGATATTACGATTTGAAGCCACTATCCGTTTTTGAAGACCCCGACGACAGAATCCACGCCGTTACTGGTTACTCCTGCTGGGGGCTCTACCCCCCGTCAGTTTCCACGACGTCGATCCTCGTATCGGCGCAGCCTTTGCCTCCAGAAGCCTCAGCCTTGAGCAGCTTTCGGTGGCGTACATGATTAACGCTGAGGACTTCTTTGGGGCCTGTTTGCAAACCTGGACTTGGGAACACCTACAGTCACTGGCCCTGACATCGGCATTGCTACACCCCACGGGAAACCCCGACGAAATCTCGGCCCTACTATCCAGCGCTGCCGCTACGGCGCTGCGAATGCCCAGTCTGCGTACCCTGATGCTGTGGAATGGGAGAGTGGACAACGCCTGTGCGTTTGTATATCGCCACCGTGGCCTCAACAAAGGCGGTCGGAGCATCACATGGCGAGGAACATGGAATCTCGAGGTCACCCCGGCGGTTGAGGAGGCGTGGCAAGCCGTGGCAAGCCGCGGCCTCCCAGAAAGCCGGCCCGCTGGAGCTCGACATAGAGAAGCAGGATATTAAAGGAGACGCTGTATCCCTCCCTGATGCTATCGATCGTCTGGCCTTGCCCTGTTTCGTGGTTATGCCTATTTCTGCGAATTATGAGAAGGGGAGGGAGCCCACCGCAAAGATAGTTTCTACCTGTCCCGTAACCAGTGATTGAAGCGAAGCTCCAATGATGAGTTTTCTCGATATACAATGCACATTGAGAAAACGAAGGAGGAACGCTTCGTTTCATTTACGGGCCTAATCCTCCAGAGTTCTCGAGGGAGCGACTGGATGCCGCAGGGCCTCGTTGTCAAAAACGGTGCACCACCGACACCAGTGCTGGACATTGGTCTGGTGATAGGACGCTTTTTTTAATGCGTTTATATATATGTTATTATTATTATTCATACTCCGCTATGCCCTAGGGCGTGCCGGACCCTCAGCTATTTAGTGTACAGAAAAACCGTGCCCTCCCGGGCCGGGTGAAAAACCCATACCAACAATCAAGGAACGATGCGTTCTGGTGAGTCTGCGTATACAAAGAGAGGAGGCCTCCTGGCCTCCGAACGGGGGCGCTTCAGGCCGCCGCTTCCAGCTCGAGTCTCCTAGCTAAGTTGTACATCGGCAGCTTCCCCGAGTCCATCAGCCAGTCGAGAACTCTCCTCGCGAGCCGTGCAGTCGTGGGATTGATGCCGTGTAGAACAGAGTAAAAGTCCCGTCGTGTCCGAATTCCAGTTCTTTCCCATCTTCTAGTCAACGGTGGGGCCAAACACCACACTACTAGGTGTTCGGCAGTCTCTCGTCTCTCGCCACACTCGCAGGCAGGAGTCAGAACCTCCGGGACTCCCCGTGTAAACAAGAAGTCCCGTAAGCCTATTGCTCCCGTCCGGATTTGAATCATAAGTGAGCTCTTTGCCTTGCTGAGACCGTCGTGCCTCCTCAGGGTTTCGTTCCGGAATAGCGTCTCCTGCTGATGGTCAAAGTCGTCCGCCGGCCTGGTGATTGCCCTGCCGTCCCGTTCCTTTAACCACCTCGCTTTCCAAGCCTCTTCTACTACCCTGTTCGTATCAACGGTTCCCCCCGTCCAGCGCATGACCGTTCCCGCGGCTCTCTCCACCGCCGTAGGCCCTTGAGGTCCCAAGGTTCGCGGTCGGCCCTTGTTGCCCCTCCTCGAGCTAAGTCTCTGCTGTATCTTGCGGCAGGCGGTGAGGACAACGCTCGCCGCCGTCTTCTTGCCGCCTCGACCGTCGTCCAGATCGGGTCGTTGGAGTCGGTTTTCGAAATCTGCAAGCCGTTTGTTTAGGTACAAGTCCCAATGGTGGTACCCATGTCTCTGTCTCGAGGTTACGGATTGGGGGTAGACTTAAAGGCTCCCGCCACAATCCGCAAGCTCTTGTTCTGGGCCTTCCCGAGGGCCTTAGTGATGCCTTTCTTTGCCGGCTCGCCTCCCACATCCGTGGGGATGTGAAACGATGATGCGCCATAGGCCAGCGCCGACCGGATGCACTTTGTGTACACTTCTCGCGCTTTGGCTAGCCCCATTCCCCATGTCTTTGCCACGATCCTCGACAGGGCATAGCTCTGGGTCCTCAGCTTCTTCACCACCGCCACCAGGTGGGCCTTCCAGTTGAGTTTCCAGTCCAACCCAGACTCCCAGGAACCTGGCAGACCCTTCTGTTAACGGGGCTGGTGCCTCCCCCTGGGTTGGCAAGGTTTACTTGTTCGGTCCACTGCCGTCACCCTTTGTTGAAATGGATCAGTTCGCTCTTTTCCGGGGCGAACTTCATCCCCCGACTGTCCGCCCATCGTATACACGTTTCCAGAACGCCGCCTCTAGTTGCCGGACATTGGCTTCGGGGTTTCGACCAAATACTAGAAGGTTGGTGTCATCCGCAAACCCTGTTATAGCCAAGTGAGGGTGCTCGTCTTTTAGCTGCTTGTATAGTGAGGAAATGTAGAGGATGAAGAGAACTGGGGAAAGGGGTGAGCCTTGGGGGACCCCTGCCCGAATTGCCGTCAGCGCCGCCGTCTTGCCGTCGAAAAGAAGGGTGGCCTCTCGACCGGTCGGCGGGGTTATTACATCTCCTGTTTGTTCACTGAATTGAGATATTTGTATCCTTGAGTTATGGATGAGGTTGGTAGTTAACGTTAATTGACAATGTTGTCTGCTGTTCACTTCCATCCAGGGTTAGGGCCGCACCGCTGAGTGCGGGGTAATGAGTGATTGCTTGGTTGCCTTGGAGCCCATTCAAATTGGTCAGTTAGTAAACAGAGCGAGGCCCACCGAAGCGCTATCAGGAAGTCCCCCGCGACCGCGCCTTTGCAACAATCTACAGGATCTGGCACATCTGGCAGCTGGCGATAGCCCCACAAACGACAGCATATTGTTACTGCGAACCTGGAGTCATCGATGCGGTATGCGATTTCCCCTGCCTGCTAACAGCTTACACCTCACGGCAAGGGTAAACACTGACGGAAATCAACATACCCAGAAAGCCGGGCTCTAGCTTCGCAATCCAACCCCAAAACAATCTCGCATCCGACGACAAACCAGCCTTCTTCCGGGCGAGCAACGCAAGTAGTGAAAGATCGAGTAAATCGAGCAACAGTACACCACGGAGGTCCCGGGCAGAGTTGAGGCAGAGCTTTTACGACTTGGTCCAGTCGACGACCATCACGTACTCGTCTTCGTCCCCTCCGAAGTCCTCCAACACTTCTCTTGGCGGTTTTGAGTCAGATAACATGGCGCGATTGCGAAAGGAATCGTTTAGTGATGACGACCTCGAGTACCTCAGCTCACAGGCAACCAACATGTCGCTGGACCCGGCAGCTCAAACACCGCAGAAACAAACCAGCAGACCAAATCACAGTGTTGTCGATCTGACAGACAGCCCGATACCAACCATCCGGACCCCCGCAGCTGCAACACCCACGCCGAGCTTTGGTCATCCCACAAAACTGGCATCGCGGTTTGGCCAGCAAAATGACAAGCCCAACCCCATGTTCATCCAGCGTAGGACCCGGCCCGAGTTTCACACCGACATGTATAAGAGTTCAGGTCCTTTGAAACCAAAAGCGGAGACCAAAAAGGGGCCAGCACTCCAAATGTTTAGTTCCCTGAGCGAAGACGCTCAGCCAGCGTACCAGTACACCCAGCCTGCCGGGTCGTTTGGGGATCAGGTTTTCTACACCGACCCCCACCAAGGCTGCGGCAGATTTGAAGGCTATGCTCGAGGGCAGCATGGAGGATGGAGAGGAGGAGGAGGAGGAGGTCGAGGGTACCAAGCCTGAGGGTGACAAGCCAAAGAAAGAGACGATCGAGGATGAGTACACAGGAGGGCATCAAAGTCAAGCTTCTTCCTCACCAAGTAGAAAGGAGTGCGATGGATGCGTGGGCGAGAAATTGGCGCACAAAAGAAAAGGAAAGGTGACCAATGGTGGTATCCTGGCCGATGACATGGGCCTCGGAAAGACGCTGCAAAGCATCTCCCTGATCGTCAGCAACACGATGCCTAAACCTGACGAGAAAGGGTGGAAGAAGCATTTTGATCAGGTGAAGAAGGCAACACTTGTGGTTGCGCCGCTTGCGCTCATCCGCCAGTGGGAGGCTGAGATCAAGGAGAAAGTGACCAAGGACCACGAACTCCGAGTCTGCGTCCACCACGGACCCCAGCGGACAAAAGACCCCAAGATGTTGGCCAAGTACGACGTGGTCATTACCACTTATCAGATCTTGGTGTCCGAGCACGGGAACAGCCATTCCGACCCCACAAGGTCGCCTCAGGTGGGCTGTTTTGGCATCCACTGGTTCCGGGTCATCCTAGATGAGGCCCATAGCATCAAGAACCGCAACGCCAAGGCGACCAAAGCATGCTGTGCTCTCCGCTCTGAGTACCGCTGGTGTCTCACCGGCACGCCAATGCAGAACAACCTCGACGAGCTCCAGTCACTCGTCCATTTCCTCCGGATATCACCGTACGACGACCTGGCCGAGTGGAGAGCCAAAATCGATGGACCACTGAAAAGTGGCAAAGGCCACATCGCCATCCGGCGGTTGCATACCCTCCTCCAGTGCTTCATGAAGCGGCGGACCAAGGATATCCTGAAGGAAGAAGGTGCCCTTGTGGCAGGCGGGAAGAAAGCGCTTGACGCGGCTGTGGCCAAGGCCAAGGAGGAAGGCCGGGACGAAACAGACGTACCAAAACCCACCTTCAAGGTGACGCAGCGCAAAGTGGTCACAGTCGAGGCCGAGTTTTCCGAAGCCGAGCGCGAGTTCTACGACAAGCTGGAGGCGCGTGCCGACAAAAGTCTCGAGAAGATGATGAAGGGCAAGGTCAACTACGCCAATGCTCTCGTGCTGCTGCTGCGCCTACGTCAGGCGTGCAACCACCCGCGGTTGTCCGAGACGAAGCTCGAGAAGGACAGCGAGGCGCTGAATGCCGATACCGCGCCGCAGCCGAAACCGAGCGCTGCAGACGACCTGGATGATCTAGCCGAATGCCTTTGGTGGCAATGGGCATCCAGACGAAGCAGTGTGATGTGTGTCTGAACGATCTGAGTAAGAAGGAGAGTGGCCGCGGGTTCCACGCGGCTGCACTGAGTGTGTTGAGTGCCTTGCAGAAAAGTCAACAACGAGAGCCCGAGCCGAAAGAAGCCAAAGAAGGAGAACAGGAGAATCAGCGTTCGTGAAGGAGGAAATCAAGATCGAGGAGATGGCCAAGCGGAAGCCCAAAGGCCGCAAGATCATCACCGATAGCGATGACGACGAGGAAGAGATGGAGGGGAGCTGGCTGGTTGGTGAGGACGAGCGTGGTTCCTTGCGGCTGGGTAAGGCCGGCGGCGAGGAAGATGAAAACGCAGAGGGTGGTGGCGAGGATATCGCCTCTGACGATTCCGACCATTCCTCAGAAGAAGAAGATGAGAGTCAACTCGATAGCTTCATTGTCAAGGACGAAGAGGGACCAGAGGGTGACCACTCTGCATCAGGCTCCGAGACCGATTCAGATGATGAGACATTTGTGTCAGTGTCTAAGCTGCGCTCACAGGCCATCTCCGAGGCCGCCCCCACCCAGGATAACGAGGCGGACTACTCGGGTATCTCCGAATCCGAACTCCTCTCCGGATCCGACTCCGATGACGATGACGATCTTGAAGTCAAACGCACGGAGCGCCCACCACAGCCAACGCAACGGCCCCAAACCCCACTCGGCATAGCATCGGCACCGGCAGCAGCAGCAACAGCGTCATGACGTCGGCCAAAATCCGCGAGCTCCTCTCCATCCTACGCAAAGAAGCCTCCGTCCACAAATTCATCGTCTTCTCCCAATTCACCTCCATGCTCGACCTCGTCGAGCCCTTCCTCCGCGCCCAACCAGGGCTCAAAGCAGTCCGCTACGACGGCAAGATGCCCAACGACGCGCGCGAGGCCGCCCTCCGCGCGCTCCGCACCGACCCACACACACGCATCCTCCTATGCTCCCTGAAATGCGGCTCGCTAGGCCTCAACCTGACGGCCGCGACGCGCGTGGTCATCGTCGAGCCCTTCTGGAACCCCTTCGTCGAGGAGCAGGCCATCGACCGCGTGCACCGCCTCACCCAGACGGTCGACGTCGTCGTCTACAAGCTCACCGTCGCCGACACCGTCGAGGCCCGCATCCTCGCCCTGCAGGACAAGAAGCGCCGCCTCGCCGAGGCCACCCTCGAGGGCGGCTCCCGCAAGAACAAGGGCCAGCTGAAGCTGGGATTGCAGGAGATCCTCGAGCTGTTCAAGCACGATGCGAGGTCGGCGCTGGCGGAGGATGGTGATGATGACCCACATGGGCCGGGGAGGGATAGGGTGGTGACGGGTGATGTGGGGGGGATGGTGAGGAGGGGGAAGCCGCCGAGGAAGGAGCATGAGGTTTATGGGAGGCGGTGGTAGGGTTTGGGGGGTTGTGGTTTGGGATAGATAGATAGGGAGTAAGGGGTTTGGGATATTTGAAATGAGGAAAAAAGGGTTGGATTGGGTGTTTCTGGATGGGTTTATTGGTGGGTTTCGGGCAAGCCTGATGGGATATCGACTGGTGTTTTTCTGGTGTGAGTATCTTGCCTGGATGATAATGACTTCCTTATGCCAGGACGGCAGTGGCCACATCGGCACTAAAGATGGGGCTTTCTCGTGTGTATCCTACGGTTTCGTAGTCGATTTTTACTATTATTACCATTATCTCTTTTATATGCTGCGGTCTGGATGGACCTGGGTGAATGCGAGAGCTTATAAGATATGTATGACTTATGATTAAGAAATACGTAGTAAGCATACTTCTCTGCGCTATCTAGGCAGACACATTTGTACAGTCCAGAAGCCAATATCCCAATACTTCCCTCCCCCCCCCCCCAAAAAAAAACCCCGATATAACGACCATTCCTCAATAGCTAAAATCCCCGTGTCCCCAAGAAAACGCCAAACAATGCGATGTGGTATCATTAACGCCCAATCCGAAGCTTACCGCTCCACAACCCCCCCAATTTTACGCCGTTGCCCCATGAAATAACGGAGGTTCCGGACAAAGCAAGACCAGTTCAGTACCGCCCCGGAAATCCTTCATATCCTTGCGCCCGCGTCTGCCCCCTTGACATAGCCGCTCAGCCGCATCTCGTTGTCGCCGCCGTGGCCCGACATGCGCCGGTTGACTCGGGTGGTAGGAGCGGGAGCCGTGTGGTCGCCCGGGCCGCATGCCGTTCTGACACGAGGGCGGGCGTCGGCGGGACTTGGTCTTCTTTCGGAGAGCATGGGCATCCCGTGGGAATGGGGGCGGGATGTCTGGGGGTTGGTCGCGCGAACGAATTGCGTTGGTGGAAGAAGGCCTCGCGTTTGGTGGTCGCATGCCGTCGGATACGAGGGCTGCTTCCGCGCTGTCGTCGTCGTCCAGGGGAACGGGTACAAAGCCTGCCCCCGGGTCTGCGGAGCGGGAGGAGGTGGGCGACGTGGGGGGTATGGGTCGTCTGGGGACGGGCGGGGCTTGGCCGATGGGGCGGCGCGGGATCGAAGGGCGGCCGGGAGCGTCAGCGTGCGAGGCGGCTACCGAAGTCGCGGCTGTGAAATTGCTGCGGAGGGATGTGTTGCGCGTGAGGATGCCTTCGCTCGGGGGCGGCGGTAGGTTCATGCGAGGGCCGACTCGTTGTGCAGAGATGGGGAGTCCATAAGCTTCAAGTTGATGTCCTCGGCCCGCTCCAGCGATTCGAGCAGCTCGTTAACCTTGGTATTCCTGGTGTAGTACTTCTGTTCCAAGATGCGAATGATGGTCGCAGTGACGGTGAACATGTAAGTGAAACTATATTGTGGTCAGTCGGGCTTCGCCTAGGGAGGCCGAACGGGGACGGACATGAGGATATTCGCAATGGCGAAGTACGGAAATTCGAACGAGCAGAACTTGTCGAGCTCGCCCCGTCGGCCATAGCTTTCATCACTAAAGCCGACGGTATCGAAGCCAATCTCGGGGATCATAGTGAAGTCGTCCTTCCGGGTCAGGCCACCACAGTGTAGCGGCAGCCCGCCCCGGCCTAGGACGCTTATAATGCCGAGTAGCACAGCGACCATCAACACGTCGAAAACAACAGAGGCGATTAGCCAACCTGTCTTTTTTGATCGTCGGCCGGTTTGCTGAACGACGAGGGCTAGGATGGAGTAGCCGAGAATGAGGCAGGCCTGGCAAGAAGTCAGTTCGCCAGTGTGACAGCAGATTGTCAAGGAATTGTGAGAATACCATCATCTCAAGCACCATTATCTCTTTTGTCAGACCGTGTGTGGACTCTTTGACCCGGACGGTCAAGTAACCGTGCGAACCGACGGCGGCCAACGAGCCCACGATCTGCGCGGAACGGGTGAAGGCCACCCATTGTGTTAAGTCCCAACCCATTGCTGAGTATGGACTGTTGCCAGCTTCCACTGGGAAGAGGCGCGAAGGAGTTTCAAGGTTAAAACTATAATTATCAATGGAGGATTGATACCAGTCAATGAGCCCGTGGTGGAAGAAACGTGAAAAAAAAAATCAAGGAGAAGACGACAGGACAGCGGCTGAGTGAGCAATCATGCAATTCCTTCGGACCTCTTCGTCGGGTGGTATTTTCCTCTTCTGCAGCTGCAGAGCTGATAAGATGGGCGGGAGGCTGGGGCTGTGTCCCTGTGCCTCCCGACGCTGGCAAGATCGCTTCCCAAGCCGTTTCGAGCGGTCTCCCACCAAAACGGGGCCAGCACGCCAGCCGGAGCACGGGGATAAGCGGGGCTTGAACGGCGGCATCACGGCTCCTCGTTGGGCGCCAGATCCCAGCAACAGAACAAGCCGTGAGTTACACAGGGAGGACACGGTGTGTGCCTGGCTCGGCGCCAAACTCTTTTGAATGGTCGCGAAGATAGGACCTTCAGAACAAGGAGGTAATCATGTTTCATGACATCGCTTAAGAGAGATTTCTTTTTCAGGGCAGAAAGGGCATCCTCGAGGGGAAAAGAGCTTGTTGAAAGAGGTCGCACTTGGTGAGTTCTGCCCCACCTTCTGACAAAGGACACGAGAGGACGCGTCATCGGCACTTCCCGGGCAAATTGGCGTGACTTTTGGCGGCTGCCAGGGGGCACAGCCCCGCGCCCCTGCCTCTAATGGGCCAGTCAACGACATAAGTCACCCGGTAATTGGCTGGTGGGTCCAGGACAGAGTGTTGACCAAAAGCAGGAGCGGCTGAGAAACTGACTCTGGTGACTCTTAACACTGGCCAATCTGCTGATTCCCAAGCTGGCAACTGAGTCCAACTGTTAATCGGCGTGAGGCAGTGTATTTCCATCCAAGCACACAGCACACCCAGGCACACAAACACTGATTCGAGGCTCCGTGCTTTGGTGTTTGTCGCGCCAAACGCGCCGGCGTCCAAGATGCACAGATGCACCCTCTTCTTCAGGCTTCGCCCCAGGTCTATCCCGGGCGACGACGACGACGAGGTTGCGGATGCCGTAGATGGCACCAACATCAATGAGAAATGCAGCCGGCGACCCCGGGACTGGCCTGCTCTCTTCTTGACGGTGCTCAGGTTTCTCCAGTTTGCTTATTTTGCCTTTGCGTATTTCGCGCTTCACGGCTTCCAGAGATCGAGTTACTTCCACGAGGATGGACCCTGGCAGCAATCGCCGCACGAGATACGTCATGCGCAACGGATGATGCGCTGGGCTCGGATGCAGGTACGGTCAGACAACGGACGACTGGTGTATGACAAGGCAATACATGTCTGACTCGCCATCTAGGCTTCTATAAGCTTGATCTACCACGCCGGTGTTCTCATCGTCCCTTGGCTACTCCGTCTCCTGAGGGCGACAAAGCGACCCTTCACCGGTTTGGGTGCCGTCTTCGGTGACGGGTGCGCCATGGTGGCCCTGCTCAACACGCTATGCACGTTGGACACCGCTCACGAGGGCTATTGTCACAGTCCCCCCCCAAGGGGTGGTACGTTGTGCCGGCCCCATCTTGTCGGGGCTGTTCCGCTGACGCCATTGTAGACTTCGACTTGCGCGAGGTGATGAATCTTAGCTACGGTGGCCTTCATCACCACATGAGCCACCGTACTGTCTGCCAGTCTCTCGATGTGATTTTTGGATTAGGAGGTCTCATCGTGTGCGTATCCCGACATCTTACGCCTTGGTCTCATTGACTCATGCCTCGGCAGCCTCTCGCATCTTGTCACTGCTCTTGCCACCGCCTGGCGTGCAAAGCGATCGTTTCAAACAGTGATCACCAAGGTTTTGCCGGCCGGTGACATCGAGCAGGGAGTGATTCAGGGTCCAGTGCGTGAAGAGGCTCGTGCATCAGCGATGCACCAACGACGACCTTCGCCGCCACCTTCATATCACTCCGTCATCCCTGAGCCGGCTCAGGATGATCAAGATTACGCCGGGCGTACCACACCGTCTCAAGAGCTGCGAAGCCGGGCCTCTGTGGAGACGACATCGTCTCTTGGACTCGAGAGGTACGGATACCTCGTGTCGGATGGATGGCGTGCCCCGGAGCAGCCGCCAATGTACTCGAGCAGGCCACCAAGTCTGCGTCAGGTGGTGAACTGAAATATATCATCGCTGAGCTGGACTGTGCCTAGTCCCATGGCCGTTGTTTGAGAGCGTATTGGAAACGCTACGTGATACCCAAGCTATATAGCTGTAATGATAATTCTTTTGTTGCTTGTTCTCCGGACACCATTGCCCGTATCTTCATGGCCTGTCGCCTTCCTCTAGAGCCTCCTCAGGCCATCGCAGCTCCCACCCCGTCACCGTCTTGAGGATCTCCTCATCCCCTGGATCCTTCTCAAACAGCGGCCTGTCCATCTTTTTCTCTAGCACCTTCTCCACCACCCACCCCTCTTCCCGCGCCACATCGAAAAACGCCAAGTCCTTATGTTGGAGCCACGGCCTATAACTCGTAAACACCACAAACGCCTTGCTCTCCTTACTCTTCTTGAGCGTCTGCCGCACCGTGGCGCAGCATATTTCCTGTGCTCCGAATGCCGGGAACAACAGATCCGCCAAAACCAACACATCAAACCCCTCCCCCCTCTCACCCTCACCAAGATACCCCAACACCCTCCCCGGATCCGCCCCCCAAACCCAACCCCTCCGCCACAATGGGCAGCTCTTTATCCCCCTCCTCCCCCCGCTCCGAGGAAGGAGCTCACACCCCCTCACATTCCGCCACATCGTCTCCAGCAGATCCGGGTCCGAGATATCCGTCACCACCACCCGCCGCGCGCCCAGGCACGCCCCCACGTTGGACGGCAGGCCCGCTCCCGGGCCCATCTCAAGGACGGTCCTTCCCTGTACGAGGGAGGGGTGCCTCTCGAAGTGCGTGGCCATCACCCGCGAACCGTTCCAAGGGTGGTGGCCTTCGGTGGGGAGTCTGGTGGATGGAGAGGGGGGGGGTTAGTGAGGTGGTTTTTTTGGGGGTTTTTTTTTTGGGGGGGGGGGGGAGGGTGGCGGTGGGGATAAAGGGGTTCAGGGGGTTCAGGAGGTTGTTGTTGTGAAAAGGGGAAAAGGTAGTGAGAAGGATCGGCTTGCGGGAAGAGCAGTTTATTTGAATTAGTTGTTTTTTTGCTTACGGCCTACGAGGTGAAGGGTGATGATGTCGCCTTTGGTGGTGGTGTAGGTCTGGGTTGTGGGGGGCGGGGTTGGGGGGTAGTAATCCTCTGGGTCTTGGAAGAGGTCTATGTCGACGGTGTCGACGTCGATGTCGGCGGAGGCCATCTTGGGGTGGCTTTCGGATAGATAATACTGTTGATGGGAGGTATTATGTTGGTGTAGGTGAAATGTGTGTGTGAGAAAGGCCTGCATGAGATGAAATGTGGGTTGGGGTGGAGCGGCTAAAAAATGTGGAGGGATTTTCATGGGGCTGTAACACACTTTAACTTGACTTCTAGACAAGAAACAGTCAACTGTGAATAGCCTGGTTACACTAGCTACAAGACTTCCGAAAAGGGAATAAAAATTCTCAAGTAGACGTTCTGGATACTGCAGCGAGAACTAAAAGTATAGATCTAGCGCACAATTTCCCCTCAAATATCAACCGTCCAGAAGGGTATTCCCAACCGGCAACCACCCGGCCTCCTCTCCCAACCCACATACCTTCCCCCCCCCCC